CCTATAAATATGACTAACTTACAATATCTAAGTAGTAAACATGTAAAACTGCTAGATACTAATAAATGATCGAGTAGTAAATTGATTTTTTAAAATTGATTTAAAAAGTGATCCTTTAAAATGCTTTGTGCTTAGACTACACTAAGGGTATTGTTTGACACTCGACCATCGATGCATTTAGTACACATGATCCAGAGATTTGAGCTTAGTTGACGACTAACCTGGTATTACAAGCCCCATGGTTTGATTTCTGTGAGACAATTAAATCAATGTTTTCTTAGACACAAAAATGAACCAAGCTTCAGAGAATGCCCCAGGGGTCCGTGGCTGACTAAATAACTGGATACACGGTTGGAGTAACAGTTCAATGATATGGCTGAAATCTGCCACTACTTGATAGGTGAACTCAAGGTTAATTAATTTAAGTATCTATCCTTTCTGAGTATCATGAAAAGTATGGCATTTTACCAGTAAACACTTCTATAAATTTCTAAAGTTATTTTATGTGTCAAAAATTTTTCATTCGCTTAAGCTGAGGAGAGTTCTGGATTTCTGACGTATCGAACGTGTAGCCTTTCCTTGAATTATGAATTAAATATTTAAGCATTTTTTTAATCCTAATTGAATTGACCTTTTCAAGTGTGACTTGCTTTACAATATTTTGACTTTTTCTCGCAAAAACCAGTCCGGTATTCTGTGCGTATTGGCGATCCAACACGTAAGAGTATTTTCAGATCAGCGAACATTTCCGAAGAATTGTTGTTGTCAATCGAGTAAACCCTAAACATACTGTTCTTCCGTTAAGACTAGCACGTTTTAACTGAATTAATGTTATTCGCCGTAAATAATTTACAAGGTTTCTGTAAAAACATAAGCTTAGGCTTACCTGGGATTTGTATACACCAAACGCTGGTGCCCGCGAGGCAAGACAAAAGATCAGGCGCGCTTTAAGCAAAATCCACCCTAATGAATGACAATAATTGACTGCAATGTACAGCTGCGAAACTTCTTTTGTACTTACTTATCCATCTGCTTAGACTACTACTATCGTGGCATGGTAGCGATTGGTTAAAAGCTTTACTTTGAAAATTTCCAATTTACAAGACCGCCATTTTCTTCTGGACACGACTAGTCTCCAGATTTCTCTCGTCCACTTAGTATGACGGGAAAATTTTGCGAAGTCTCTCATTCACTACAAGGAGCTGTTTTGTTTAGCTATTGTAGTCTCAGTTCTTTTCTGTGTGTGAATCCCGGGGGTGG